TCACGTGACCTCGCTGACGCAACAATATAAATAGTATAAGACCTATATTTTACGAATGTCTCTTTAATACCTCAATATTTTGCTGTTAAAGGAGCCATCGATAACGTACAAGTTCACCAATCCAGTTCAGTTTCAACTGGATTAGCAAACTTGTATATTATCAATATTTCCTGACTAAGTTGTAGTAGCAAAATATTGAGCTAATAAAGACACATTCTGGAAATACAGGTCATCATTTTATTTACATTCATATAAACAACACAAACCTGATCACATTTCTAAAATCTATGCAGAAAAATCAAACAATTTACACTAATGCTCGCATCCCTTACACACTTTTTTACAGAGTAAATATCATGATACTGTGATATTAAAGAATGTTCTGTAAAAGTAATTCGGTTTTGAAGTCTTCTGCAACAACACTTTTCTTAGAATTGTTAGTATATGATCAAAATGTACTAAAATGAAGTTTTTAAATGAATAAATTCTACACAGTTTTCTTAAAGCACCAAAGATGTAAGCAAAAGCTTAACTGTAAAGCTTCACAATGAACCCTTCTTTTTACACCTTAAGTTACACTCACTTTATTTATATTGAATTGATATTTTCTTCTTTGTTCCCCCCAAAAAAGTTATTTTATGAAATGTGATTATAAAGAAACCAAAACTTACAAAAATATAACCTACTTAAAATAAGTGACAACAAAATGTTTATAAGATACCAACCAGATGACCATATGCCTGCTTGTGCCAACAGTAAGGTAACTAACTGAGGAGTCCGTTCTAAGTGGAGAACATGCTGTCCTTCATTTGCAAGGATGCTGCAAATATTTAGTGTAAAATCCTCTTCATTTGGCAGTCCACTTAGAAGAGATAAACACAGCTTTTTGTATTCTTTCTTGGGAAGTTCTGGTGGCAGACCAGCTGATTTTCGAAGGGATTCTAAGAAGTATCAAAAATCAATTATTAAATGTGTGTGAATATATACATACAGCTATCTAGGATTCACATACAAACAAGCACAGTGTAGCATAAAACTGTCTTAATCATCTTAAATGAATCAAAGTTTAGCAAAATCTATGCAGATTCCAAACAGATCCATTTATATATCCCCCCCCCCTTTTGTACTCTACATGACTGGGAAGAAATACTGAAACAATTCATGTTTTGCTTACAACAGAAATCATACTAATGAAATATAAAGTTTCCTTTTACATTTGTTACCTGGAAAGTTCAATAACCATATTAGACAAAAAATCTACTTATTTATAATGATTATTCTAAATATTTTACTTACTCTCAGGTATACAAAAATATAAAATATATACCAGGAATTTTAATCCAAGTGATAAAATGTATTTTATATTTTACTAAGATTATGTAATTATTACATGCAACAAGACTAGAGCATCTAGATTAATGAGATGGGGTGAAACCTGATATACAAGAAGACATAAACATGTGGACAGAAATAACTGTCTTTACCAAAATAATATTTAAAGTATACAAAAAGGTATTTTTATCACAAACCTACCAAGAAATCTGAATGTATAAAATAGCACAAGAATAAATTTCAGTAAGTATTACATAGGTTAATTTTGATATACTGATATACCCCATAGCATAAATTCAGCAATAAGTCTGGATAATTGAAGGGTATTTATTTTTTTTTAAATTGACTAATTTAGTGGAGTGATATTTATTCAATATTCAAAACATAAGCAAAATGATGAGTGTGTGGACAAAAGATGACACTATTTTTTTTTTTACTGGAGCATGAAAGCTTTCGTGGAATCTGATGATCCTTAAAATCCAAAATCTGTTCCAAACTGAGAAAGAATAGCATCATATATGTAAGAAACATCTATTTAATTACCTATACTGATTGCCAGAATGATTTTTAGTTTCACTCTAAGTCCTTAGGTTGCTCTGATTAGAATTTATTACCAATCAATAGATGTTTCTACAATGTTATTCTTCCCAAGATGCATTAGCTACCTACATGACTACTGGTCATTCCCATCAAAAAACATAGGAGAATGTAACCTCAAGGTTTCACTTGACCTGCAAGTGGAAAACATTGCTGCCTACTTCACACAGTAAAAGTTACTCTACAGTAAAATCAACTCTAACAAGATGCCCATAATACTAAAGAGGAATGATCCAGAACAATAGGTAACTGAGGCAAAAGACACTTAGCCACTTTCAACATTATACATTATATCTAAATACATTTCTATGCATGAAAATATTTAAAATGTTTCAGATGACTTTCAAGTTAAGTTAGGGGAAGGGGTGATGTAGAAAACATCTAGTATACTACATATCTACCATCATGTTTCAACTTAAAATATTTCGAGTATTAAATTGAACAAAATCACGTCATTCTGAATTTCTGTTGAAACCATCGGTTTTGTAGTCAAACAGACAATATTAAAAAGGTTTTTAATTATAATTTACTTATGATCATATTCTTACGACGTAATGCTCTGAACTTAACTAACTTGTGTGATATAACCATATACTGTAGTTTTACTTGAAACTAACAAAAAAACATCTAAATAAATCCCTTAGTTACTGCTTAGAGTACCAACATACCTGAAATTTCATGTTGTGCATAATTGTAAGTCGTGGGTATGAAGTGCAGCATTGAAGTGTAAGACTTGCGAACACGACTGTCAGTAGACTGGACATTTTCTGGTATTTCTCCATGGAAATGAATTTTTTCATATGCACCAAGGTACCTTTTTTTTTAAAGAAAACAGAGTAATAACATATTTATTCTTCTTCTCATGAAGCAGTTGTCGCTAGAATATCGCCACCCAGTCATGACGTAATTTCCCACCATATGTGTACTCACTCGATACTCCATCAGAACACCTCGAAAAGGAGTGGCTCTTGTGCGAAATCAGCTGACGTGATGATGTCACAATGTAGTATGTCCTGGCAACCATCCAAATGTGGACTGAAAGTGGAATTACGTTTATGCACATATACTCTTTTTTTACTCCCGTTGTTTCATTCACGAGGAACACGTAACACTAAACCCAAATGAAACGACAGACGCGATTAACTCTTCCATATTCACACACTGATAAAAGCCTACTGTAACACTGTTTCATTCATATGGAATCGCAAAAATATACTTGAAACGTAACCCAGAATTTTAAACACGTTATTATATTCCTTGAAAAAAGCAATGATTTAAAATCTCGAGATACTATAGTTTTCTGGATATAAAAAGGAACTTTAGTTAAAATTCCTGTAAAGTTACAGCAAATAAGTAACGTCTAGTTTGGTTTGAATTTCGCTCAGAGCTACTCGAGGGTTTTCTACGCTAGTCGTCACTAATTTAGTAGGGGTAGACTAGAAGGAAGGCAGCTAGTCAACATCAACCACCGCCATCTCTTGGGCTACTCTTTTACCAACGAATAATGGGGTTGAGTATCACATTATAACGCCTACGCGACTGAAAGGGTTAGTATGTTCGATGGCAGGGATTCGAACCCGCGACTCGCAGATTGCGAGTCGAACGCCTTAACCACCAGTTTGTTTGGTTGTTTGAAGTTAAGCACAAAGCTACACAATGGGCTATTTGTGCTCTGCCCATCACGGGTATCGAAACCCGATTTCTAGCGTTATAAGTCCGCAGACATACCGCTATGTCACTGGGGGATCTAACCACCAGTAACGTCTAGTCCAACTACTACTTTATATCTATTCAACTGCATGCTTTTACATGCTTACCTGAACCTGTAAACAGATAGCGAAGAAAATTAATAATATGGAACACCTTTACCGCTATTGGATAACAAATACCATGTTATGAACAGCATCCGAGAAATGGAGTAGGAGGATATATTAACACAGACAGATTAGGACTTGGATCACAAAATATGAACCAAACCCGGGTGATAAATTCGGCGAAAAAGATAGATAACATCAATTATTATTTCGATGTAACGAAGCTGAGAGGTGTGTAGGTGTATGAAAAATATTTACACCAAGCTGTTTCTTATACCTAAACACACATAAAGCGTCTTTAGCACTTTCTTTAATCTAAAACGTTACAATATATCGCTTGAGCTCAGATTTTTGCCATCTATGTGATTTTTGTACAGAAAATTTCACAGACTCACGTTGAAAATTGATAGCAATAACACAGGAAGTTTGTATGCTCATTCGTAGCTCATAACGATTTCTAAAAATATAAAAATAAATATATAAAAAAACGAAAAGAGGAAACTTTTTCAATAATTGTAATACATATAGATTATACTTTTTCATCACACATTTGTAAACACCTCGGTTGGTTCTGTTGTACTTTTTTCATAAGAAGTTAGTGAGAGTAGGTTACTGAAATCTTGATTAACGCTCTCTTTACGCGGTATAGTGCTGATTCTGATGTCATTCATTCCTATATTGTTAATCTTCAACAGTACAAGCTTCGCAATAATAATATTACACTTAATAACAACGAGAAAGGAGTAACAGCACAATATACTGTAGTAACAATGCAAAAAAACGATGGACTGCAGTTATAGTTTTCAGAAAATATCTGAGGATTTTTTTTCCCGTCTGCTACAAAGAGACTTCATTTTTTAAAATATTTGTTTCCAAACCAGCATCCTCATTATATGTATAGCTTGGCTTTTGTTCAAATTTTACCAAATCTCTCACAATTGGTATTTTTATCGTTCCATTAAAAGAACCTGGTGTCAAATAACGAAATTAAAGAATAGGTTACACAATAATCAAATGACATCCAGGAATTAATTTGTTTTTTAATTTATCAACCATTACTACATTAACTTTCGGTATGCTGTCTTATTTATCAGGAACGTTAAATATCTTATCTTGTGTAAGAACTGAAGGTGGTATATGTTTGTAAACAACTCAAATTTGTAATAAAATCTACCAAATTAACAGATACACAAGATCAGGGTTCGCTTAATCATACAACCTTATCTGTAATAGAAACGGTACAATAGTAATAACGAAACAAAAATAGCTTAAAGTACTTTGGGGGTAGAAAGTACAAAATCTTGTAAAACAATGACGTGTAACCACCTCAGAACAAGGACTTGTACGTTACCAGCTGTAGGTATGATGTAGACATACGGAACAAATACTATATACGAAAACCAGTTATCAGACGGATTCTCTGTGAGCCAAATTCTAGAGAAAGACGCGGAGGGAATACGATATATACACCTGGAAAAAAGTTAAGCACCCCCGTGTTTTTTTCAAGTGATTCAGATTCGACGTTCTTGTGACTGATTATAAATTACCATTCAATCTAAATGTGTTTATCAAATGAAATTATGCATTATTGGGCAC